GCATTTAAAATTACAAAACAAAAAAACATAAAACACAAAAACAAGCAATAATAAACACTTAAAAATTGCACAATTATTGGCAATGAATGCTAAATGCTAAATACCAATACTAAAAAGCTAATTCTTTTTATAAATGTTAACAAATAATTATTTATTTAACCGTGTAAGCGACTCAAAGCTAATAAAACTCATTAAAAATTAAAAAAAAAGTTAATGTTTTCATTCTTTTTTTTTTGCAAAAATTATTTATTTAACCCAATATGATGATATTGATTACCAGAAGAACCAACTAATAATTTTCATATCATTTTTTTATAAAATATTTACTAAAATATTTGAATAATGAGCGAGTTGCGCAAATTCGCAAATGTTGATAAATAATAATGTTAATGGAAAATGATGCAACAGTTGAACTTGCTTCGAATTTTGGCCACTCTACTTAACCATTTGCACAAAAAATATTATACATACGAGAATAAGTCAGCAAATGGATGCATTAACTTCGAAACTGAATGTACTCGTATAATGTTTTAATGTCCACAGCAAATAAATAAAACAAATAAATATTAATGATGTACAGTTGAAACTGAAAGGCGTCTCTTGTTTTTTCTTTCTTAAACGGAGTTAGGGTTAAGATAACCATTAATTTACAGGTGGGCGCTCTAACCATCCTAGCCAATTAGTGTCCGTCCTGACTAGAAATAGCTACCATATCTTCAGATTCATTTGAGTGCCGGCTCAGAGCGGAATGACTGGAAAGCTAATGAGCTAGCTAAGGAACTCACAATGGAATGGAACCGAGTTGGATAACTATTGGCAACTTGCGTTCTAGCACTGGACCAATTGTAATCGCGTGCGTTCAGCAAGCGTTAGTCAACGACAAGTTGCTATGCGACTGTGAGGCCTTTCTGGCCTATAGTGGAACGCAAGAAATCTACGAAACTACTTGCCTTGAGTAAAGTTCTTCTTACTGCAATTGTGAGAGGACATTGTCCAATAAGTATAAGGATAAAAAACTCATCGAACACTAGTTGTAAAAGTTGTATAGCAGAGGTTGTGGTGGAACATCTATTCATTTACCATTGTCTAGCCTTTGCAAGACTGAGTATGAAACATCTAGGCAATCTACCGAGCCGGAGTACATAGCCGAGACTTATATTATATTAGCCGTCTGAACAAATTTGTGAGTGCCTAAAAGCGCTTTGTAGTTCTTTAAAGTTCGAATGATCCAAAAGTTTTCAGGTACCACAAGGAACCGGCGTTCTAAACTCCCCATTCATTCAAGAAATATACCATTTTTGCACAATAAGTTTTTATAGATGCGCTAGGTACTACGCTTGTCGACGCACCAATTCGAGTTTAGTTCGCTAATTTTCGTAAAAACCATTTTAACACTGAAGATGTTACCCAAAATGTCCTACGAAAGAGATTTTCAAGAGATAAAATAACAAAAAAAATAAGAAAATGATTTGGGTTATCGTAAAATTGAATTGCTCCAAATAGCTGAAGCTCTAGAGATGCCATTAGAACTCCTGGATTCTTGATCTGGCCAACAAAAATTTTTGCTGTACTCAGACGCCAAAAAGTTGCTGTTCGTAAAGATATTTAGAAGTTTTTATTCAAAGAGACTTGATGCATGCAAAATTGTATGAAGAGATGGATGATCAAATTCCACCAAATAATATTTATAAGAGTATGTGCCATGATGGTACAATAACTGGAATTGCCACTACTCTTAGAAAATAGTTTTCCCTCGAATTTGAAAATGTACCTAAATTTTTCAATGATGGTAAAATAATTTGAACTGCTGAGGGTAATCGTAAGCTAGAAGCTTGCAAAATCAAGAAAGTAAACTACTCAGATGGTAGAAAAGTATCTATGTATATAAATTATAAGCTCAGCCAGCTGAGCCGATTTCATGCCATGTTCGACGGTCTATCTTTCCGTATATACGCGAGCTAGTCCCGCAGTATGTGAGATATCGACCGGAAATTGTGCACACGCCGTTTTGTCATATAAACTGAACGATAGGGATATTTTCAAGAAATTTTAGCATGAGTTATTGTCAAAGGCATTGATGCAAACTCCAAAGAAAAAGATCTATAAACTGACCGATCCAAATCAAGTATTGGTAAGCAATATTTAGTATTTGTGAAGGGTATTAGAGCTTCGGTGCTACCGAAGTTAACGCTTCTTGTATTTATTTATTATTAAATTATATATTAAAATATATTTTACGTTATGTACATATGTATGTATATTGAATAATAATTTATATCACTTTATTGCTTTTAATTGAATATTGAAAGCGTTTTTAAGTGCAGACTTTAAACGCCAGAATATTGAACGCTAATTGACGTATTTTAAGTATTGTACTATATGTACGCATACATACACATATAAAAATGCAGTCTCTCAACTTAAATATACATAAATAAATAAATACACATAAAACTATATTCTATAGTACATGCCATTAAATCAAGGATATACCCTAGAGTCGGAGAATAATGAAAAGCATTTATGTATGTGTGTATTTGTATGAGTGGAGCGAAAAAATACCGTGCCACAATGAACCGCAATTTAATCATAAAATGGTCAACACCTGCAAAATATGTATGAGCGAATCCTTATGCTTGTGGAAAGTACGCAATTGTATGCTTTTCAAGAGAGGGAGATTTTTATCCATACTTCTATAAATAATTATAGTATATATATGTATATACATAAATATTTTTAAATATATTTAAAAGTATTCCGCCGAGAGATTTTTTTTTCGTTTGAGGAACACTTTCTAACCGCAGCGTAGTCTGCAGGTATACCTGAGCAATAGCTGTTTTCGGATATTCTAATTGGAAAATACTAAAAAAGTAAAATAAGTAAATACTGATCAAAATTGACAAAGGACGGACAAAAAAACTACATTTTCACATGATGTTTGTTATTGTCTTCAATACGCGCTTGCCAACGCTTAATCAAATTTTTCATAAATTTACACTTGTTAAAGGGCACGGCAAGGATAGGTCAACGAATTTTGGTTTTTACAGTTTCGGCGAATTTTTAGAGCGCTATTTGATTTTATGTAATAGTGCGTTTGATGACTGTAGGTTCCTCAGCTACATACATTGACAAGCTTTTCTTTTGCGACTTCTAATCGACGTCCTTTTAACAAAAGATTTAGGATTTTAGTAGGAGTCTAACATCATGATACGCTTCATAGCTAAAATTTTAACCAAAACGTGTTAAGCCAATCCCTAAGTGATTTTGAAATCATCTCCTGTAGCACGGATGCCAACGCAAGGATTTTCAATCTGTGTTTCTTTTTTTTTTTTACTTTTCCGATGTTGTCATCATTAACAACTCGCATGAGGTAAGTTTTCGATGACTTCAGTTCCCTTTGTGTCACCCAAAAACTCGTATTCCTGATAAAGCACTTCTCCAAGATTTTCCATTATTTCGTAACAACAATTCCATTAGAAAGACGTAATTTCTAGTGAACTGGTTGTTCAATTTTGCTAAAAAATCGCCGGAATAACTTTTAACATCGTAACCAAACAGTTGACACATGTTTATTGACATATCAATATTAAATTTCACATAAATATAACATAGATTTCACCAATTTAGAATTTTTTTTTTTGCAATTTGCGAGCGAGTTTACAGGGTCCGCCATTTCAAAAAGCCATAAATTCGGGTTGGAAAATTATTTTTATTTTAAAGTAAAAAATCTGTGAAAATAATCACAAATTGACCAATTCACTTCTGCTCGATATGACCACCTTTTGCCTTAACTATGGCCTTGAGACGGTCAAAAAACGAATCGCAAGCTGCCCGAATATGACTTGCCGGTATTTTGCCCCACTCACGGATAATGGCTTTCTTCAGCGTCTCGAGATTAGTGTATTTTTTACTTCGGACCTTGCTCTCCAAAATGGCCCAGAGAGGCCATAATCCATTGGATTCGCATCTATTGAATTCGAGAGTCACTATGTGGTCGTAACGAAGTGCGGAATGTGGTTTTTTAGCCGTTCTTGATTCACTCGCGCTTTGTGAGATGGTGCTGAGTCTTGTTGAAACGTCTATGGTTTGCGACCGAAATGTTTGTTGCCCACGGCTTCCAGCAGCCTCCCGATAATCTATAATAAATAATATCGCATTTACTTTGACGCCGGGCTCGATGAAAACAATTGAAGAGCGCCCATCTGCGGTGACAGCGCATTATTTGTGGCGGGTGCTGCTTCCTGGTAGCCAACCGATGACTTAAATTCTCGTATGAACAATCGGTCAAGTAAATACTATCGTTTTGAGAGTTTACGAATTGCTGAATTGGAAAAAAATTTTCGTCAGAAAATACGATATTCGGAATTTGACCGCTTTCGTCCAAATCATATTGTATATATAGTATATAGATATTGATATCAGCAGATGTACATACATATGTACGCTCCCACATTACTAGGAGTAAAAATACATGCAAATATTTGGTAACTACTTCAACAGTAAACAATTCGCATCCAATATACTGCCAAATAGGACAAAAAAATTATACACACACATAAACAATCTGATATCAAATTGCATATGATTTTATAATTAACGCCCTGAGCAAAACGGAACACATTTGGCGGCGTTGATAATGGCTTTGAAATTGAAAATAATTCAAAAACGGGTACATTAATCAAAACCATTTTCGCCAGAAGCGTGTGGCAACACAGAAATACTGTCTACCACCAACAACACTTGGTGAAGCATGCAGCGTCAGTGGACAAAAGTGCAACGCAATGCAAATCGTGGAAATTGCAAAATTGGGAAAATAATTTTAGTTGCACTTTTTAATTGAATAAGCGCAGTGGCAAATACTTTAATCGATTGGAGCTCAACCAAAAGCGCTGGTAGCATATTGATGCAATGGCAAACCCTTATCTAGTGGCATGTCCGCTGTCGGAGCACCTACGCCACCCGCAATGGTGTAAAACACATCCGTTGCATCCGGTTCCGCCAAGCAACACGCGACGGTGCATTAAATGCATTTCTGTGCATATCTACATACATATGCTCACATGTATAATTTTTTTTGTCTTTATGCTCCCAACTCCCTGTTTCGCATAACGGTAATGAAATAAATCCATTTATTTGTTCATAATTTCCATAGCGACCACAACAATTGTCATATGAACAATGCCTTGGTGGCAGCAGCAAACAACTGCAACAGCTGCCGTGCAATCTCAGCCCACCCTATTATGGAATTCGACCAAATCTGCATCCGCTGTGGCTTTCATTACATTTATTGTTATGTGCTTTTTTCGTTTTTTCTTTTTTTTTTTTTTGATATTGTAAGTCCAATGATTGCATTAATTTCTCGTTTATATTCGTATTGCATATCACAAATGGACTGAGGTAGACGCTGCACAGGATTGAGTGCAGGTACACGTGTCGTATTTTTTCTATTAAGCATAGCAATTTTTATTGACAATATTTAATTTAAAACGAAGGTACACCGTTTTCCTTAGATATATTTATAAACAAATGCTAAATATAAGAAAATAAAATATAGCGATGGTGAGAGAAGAGATTTCAACATAAACATATAAAGGCCACCGATTTTTAAAAAAAATCTGAGAAATGTGCGTGATAATTTGTGACTGAAAGCTAGGGTTTTTTATTTTAAGTTGAAATAAGGGTGCCGTTTTATTATTTAAATTAAATTAAGTACAATGTGTTAGGGACATAACAAGGTAGCTTTACACCAAATTTTCTAAAATTATTTTTTTGTATAAGGTAAAAATAAAAACTTGAATATTTGAATTTTTGATAAATTTTGATTTTGTGTGAATATAGTGTTAGGACTGCTTCGACCAATAGAATTTTAACTGTCTTAAGATGTTACATCGGTTTCAAGTTTCACGGTTTCAAAATATCGATTTTTTAATGTCCTATTTAATTCTATATCACATATGGAATATTGTCCTGAATGCTTAAGTTAATCCGAGTAAGATTTTTGGAGATAGATCTTGAAATAGAGATCGCAATTTTTTCGGTCGGTTGTCAAGATTTCTCGTGAACCTTTCAGTCGATCTTAATGATATTTTACACATGCCTTCAAGATATATTTTATAAGGTCTAGAGCGAAGAATATTTTTTCAATTACAGCTATTTAAAGAAATTGTCAAATTTTCACCGATATTTTATTTTTACTTTTTTTTTCTGACAAAAATACAATTCTCACTTTTTTAAACAAAGTAACAACTTAATACAGAATTTAAAGCGTTTACAAGATATTCATGGTCAAACATCAACGAAAACAAAAAAATTATAGATAAAATATAACAACAAAAATTTTAAAAGTTTAGGCTTCGAAAAAACTTTATTATCAATTTCTTAGAAAAAACCAGAATACAATATTTTTTTCTGGCGGTCGGAAGCGAGGTACAAATTGTTCTATCAGATAATAAGAAAAACATAGAAAACCGTTGGGCAGAGGAGCTTTCCGTTACTATTAAGTTATTTATTTGGAGAGCCTTCTTAGAAGTGTATATCACCAAATTTTCAGAGTATGAAAAAAAATCGGTATTTTTGATCGATGTAATGTACATTTCTAATATCTTTCAGTTTACCATCGTCATATTTTTTTAAAAATAAATTAAATCAAATTAAAATATACTTATTTTTTAGAAATTGAGATATGATCTTTTTACGTTCAATAACCTTACAATTAAAAAAATAATAATCAATGAGACAGGAGTAAATCAACAAATCAAAAGATGAGGTAAGTAAGTAATTTAGAAAGCCAGAACTAAGCTGTTAAATATACAAAATATAAATTATTTAATAGATTTCATAAACTTGTAAATAAAAAAAAAATTCATATTGCATATACAAATGGGTAACGAATGTACATATGTACATATATTTGAGAATAGTCTCCGGAAACTTTAAAATGATCCAGCACATAATTTCGGAAATATGAAGGTTAAATACTTTAACTTTTAAAGTTAGTGTAAGGTGCTACCCAAACTTTAATCCCAATCTCATTTTTCTCGAAACGACGTTTTCAGCGTCGGTAAGCTAAATTTCTCCGAAATGTCTGGCCGATTGGCTTAAAATTTTTAAACGATCTGACCATTTATTTGATATGTCAAAGGGAAATGAATCATAACATTGAAATTGAATCCGCGTACGATAAAAACTGCCAATGGGGAATATACATGAATCCAACCGCTTTTATGTTACATTTTATTACTACTTACCCTGAAAATAAGAAAATTATTTAGTTAATCTCATATTGATAGAAAAAGAATACCTGAATGACGTGGGTCTTAAGCAGCATCAGGTGCAGCTCACCTGTTATTGTAATTTACTATTCCCCATTCACGCTGGAAACACCAAAACATAACCAAAACTCTATTATAAGGACAGGAAACACACAATCTTTTATTTATAGCTTCCGCACAACTTTTAAACACTATAAAGCCTTTCACAAAACGTTGGGCTCCACTTTGCACATGCAACTGCACATTATAAAACACACACACATTCTATGAACTTTTCACTGCACTTCACTTTCACCATTTCACTTACATTACACTTGAACTTTTTCAGACTATTACGTGCACTTAAAATAAATATTTTTATTAAAATTCTTAGTTTTCTGATTATAACGGCATCCGGAAAAACTTTAAGCGACGCGGCGGAATAGCGGGATTTTTATTTGACAAATGTGGTTTTTGTTATTTTAGTACAGACAGCAACCAGTTGCCAATGACGTTTTCTTTTATCTCTTTGTTCTCTCCTCAACTTTTATGTTTATGACAGAGAATGTATAATAAAGTGAATTAATAATAATAATTAATAATAATAATTCACTTTATTATACGTTCTCTGGTGACTGTTTCGCAAAATGAATATACATTTGTGATAGTAAACTTAATTGGAATGCAAAATCTTTTTCGTTTATGAGTTATTTTAACTAGAAATACTATAGGAAAACCAACAATTTAATTTTTTTTTATTACGTCTGAGTTAAACAATTATTTGCAGAAAAAAAACAAAAAAAGATTGTATTTTGTTAAATTTTACGCAAACATTGTCAGTCTGGCAATACCTAACACGTCGCTGACAAACAACAAAAGAGACTGCAATAGAGTTGAGCTCTGAAAATCTTCGTAGAAAGTCGCAAAACAACAAAAAATTAAATGTGTGGCATTAGTTTTATTTAATTCGATTTAAAACGTAAAAACCATAATTCAAATTGCAAACATTGCGTCGTAAGACGTCCGGGCCTCCGCCGAAACCATAACAGACAGCTGAAGACTGATTTGGGGTCGAGTGAACCTCTGGGATTGTGCGTGACGATTGTTACTGTTGCTGTCAGAGCAAAATAAAAAGTGACAAATGGCCGGGTCTGCGCTGAGAAGGCTTATGGCGGAATACAAACGTAAGTTTAGAAATTCCAAAGTTCGTTTATGATTTATTGAACTACGAAAAGTTTGTTTCACAAATTTCGTAATTTGCTTAATGAAATAAAAATAATGTGCAGACTAAAAACGTGGACCTACGTACTATGCATGTGTTATGTTACATATTTACAGAGTTGACCCTGGACCCACCGGAGGGCATAGTGGCTGGTCCCGTTAGTGAAGACAATTTTTTCGAGTGGGAAGCGCTGATAGCGTAAGTAGTGTTGGATATAAATTGTTATCAAAATATAAGTTTCCATTTTTTGAGTGTTTCTAAATTTCTCTTTTATTCTCCTATATAGTGGACCTGAAGGAACTTGCTTCGAAGGTGGTGTATTTCCGGCGCGTCTCCAATTTCCGCCCGACTATCCGCTTAGCCCACCGAAAATGAAATTTACCTGTGACATGTTCCATCCCAACAGTAAGCTACATAAACTTTCCAAACTTGAATACTTAGAAAGCATTAGATATATTAAATATTATATGTATTATTAACAGTTTTTGCCGATGGACGAGTTTGCATATCAATATTGCATGCACCTGGTGATGACCCCATGGGATACGAATTGTCTGCCGAACGGTGGAGTCCAGTGCAAAGCGTTGAAAAAATTCTACTAAGTGTTGTTTCGATGTTGGCTGGTGAGTTCGCGAGAAATTCGTTAAAAAAAAATTATAAATAGTCTTATAAAAATAGACATTCAAAGTTACCTAAATCTATAACAACAAACTATTTTTTTCGACCTTTGCCCATTGAATATTTTTTTCCACATATTGCAAGGACTTTTATCATGTTATTGCTAATCATGTTTTGAACATATTCACGTACTTTCAACATGTCGTAAATATGTGTAAATTCACACATATTTTTTTGTCTAATTTGTCCGTTCTATGATGTTGTTTTTGCTTTGACGGTTTGTTATAAATTATTATTATCTCTTGTATTGCAGAACCAAATGCAGAATCGGGTGCTAATGTAGATGCAGCTATAATGTGGCGTGAACGACGCGAAGAGTTCAACGAAATCGCCAAACGTTTAGTGCGGAAAACACTCGGTATACCATCATAAAATAGGCAGTGGAGCGACAACAATCAGAACGATAACGACATTAAGGACACTGTATTACTCCTTCCACACAAAGAGATTCATTCGAACATCGCGACGGAAGTAATGTTAAATACAGCTGAGCGACACCTACACACAAAGCGCGACTAAAATCAGTTAACAGCAAGCTAAATTTATATAAATGGCGTTTGAAAAAGCAACCAAAAGCATCCATTTATTTGAAACTCTTTAAAATATATAAATACTTATATTGTTCTCGCAACTTGATTTTTAAATGCAGTTTTCTATGCTCTTTAATACTTAAATCACGCAAAAAAAAATGCAGCAAACTAACTATCAACCTATCTTTTACGCACTTGAACTCAGCTATATTCTTATCTCAGTTGCATTTTGCAAATGCCAGAGAATTGCTACTATTTTATGTGCTACATATACATGAACATAAATACAATAGTAAGAAATACGTCTATAACGCAATAGAAATTTTGAATTATATAAAGTAACATATATAATTGTTTAGATTTAAAGCATTAAAGCCGTAAGGAACATAAAACTTAGCGCAAATTTTAGGTAAATATGCTCTTTAAAACATAGGTTTGCTTTACGCCGACGCCCATAGAACGATTACTTATGTAATATACTTAACTACTACTAATCTATTCTCATAGGCTGTACTGTAGATAAAAATATAAAATTTTCAATTAAACTGACATTTACTTAAAAAGTTAAATTTTATCTACTTTTCCAAATTATTTGCAATTATTGTTAAAACTCAGCCCAAAAACACACAGGTTTTTATGTATTAAAAGATAAAAATGTATAAAAGGAATTATTTTTGTGTACCTTATTTTTTAACTTGACCTTCTAGTATAAGAAAGAAAGTCAGGCACATACATCAAATTTCTATGTTAGTGCGAAATAAAATATATGCAATGTATATATTTAATATGAAATGCCTTTGATTATTTGAAAATATTGGTGATGTCAAGAGGAGGGTATTCTTCAAATTTTCATTAAAATAAATAATAAACAATTCTGTCAAGACTGAACCGAAAACAGCTCTACAAGGAAGCCTACCGTCAATCAAATGGCTTAACAGGTGGTGGCGCGGTCAAAAGCCATTAAATTTTCCTTTCACTTTTCGCTGTTAACGAAGTTTTTAATAAACAATACGATAAAATTTACGAAAAAACTTCCAAAGGCACAAAAAACGTTGTTCGAAGGCTTCAAATTGTCACCATCCAACTGCTCTAATAGTTCAATCATTCACTTCTGTGTAAAAAAAGAGTTAAAACTTGTGCAAAATGTAGAAGCAGGATATTTTAAAAGGCGTGGTAAAACAGTTAAGCAATACTCTCTTCGTTGGAGAGCATTGGATCATCCAGGAAGATTCTGTTTCAGTCAGTAAAAGGCAAAAACCAAACGGCAATGGCTCAAAAGCATTTCGGTTGAAAATCTAGATTTGAATCCATACAGGACTACAGTTTATTGTCAGAGTTGGAGAATATGGCCTCTCCATAGTCCACAGAAATTGGGAAAGTTTCGAAAAATCTTTCATTCGAGCAGCCAATGTCCAAATCGTTTGAAAGCTTGTGTGCAGCTTACGAGGATACAAATTTGTACATCGTGTATTTAAATAAAAGTTACTTTACAAATGGCTTTTAGTTTCAATTTCACAACGGTTTTAACTTGTAACAGAACTTATGGTAGGAATAACTATAACAATCCACCCACAATGAACCAAATACTAGATCCTTGTGAACTAAACATTTATATTGTTTTACTGATAGTCCTTCGTTGGATATATGCATATATCTAAATCCAAGTGCTTTCATTGAATTAAACAAGACAAGCAGCACTTGTTCACACTTCCGGAGAGCGCCAGCGAAGTGCTTGTTATTAACACAATAAGCGCAATTTCTACTATTAATAAAATAGCTAACAAATGCTATATGGAAACTATTTCCAGGCAGTTATGGGTCCAACTGTTCCCATTGTATGCTTCAAATTGTTTGTGGTGGAGAAAAATTAGTTTCTTTTGGCTATTTGCAATATTTAAATTCACCGCCACGTAAATGATTTTTAAAAATAATAAGTGTTATTTAAAAGAAATGCAAATATTGAATTGTTTTCATTGTGAACAATGCTTTGTTAAGAAAATTAAATTATTTTATTATTAATTAACATTTCCAAAATATTTTTCATTTCCTTTTTCACGCCGTATCCGGTGTAAGCACTTGTCAAATGATGGAAATACAAAACGGTTGGTAGCAATGTCACTTTGACACTAGCGCTTGAATGCTGCCTCCAATTAGACAGTTTGCTTTTATTGTTGGTGTGTGACAAGCCGTGCGAGTATCTGCATCTCGCCGATACTGTGGAAATTTTTTTGAATATACTAAACCAAGTCAAAGCGCACATCTCGGTAATTGTTTTTCTTCTGGTTTCAGCCATTTTGTACCTTTACAAAATTCAACCAATATTGTATATAGTGAAATAAAGAAAAGTGAAACGTGTAAAGCATTTACAAAAACAAGGTATGTTAAATACTGAATCAGCGCAAATAAAAACGATTGTGAGTTTAATATTGTAAAACTTGTGAAATAATGAAAAATCGGTGGACGCATGTACGGTGAGAAAGTCGAAACGCTGGAAGGGAAGGTCGGTCGGTGCGTTTTAAAAGGCAGACAAGCATTACGGGTACGTGTATGATTCATTGAACGTATTCGAAAACGGTTAGCTAAGTTGGCCGCTTGCCTGTCTGCCTGCCTGCTGCCCTTGTTTTTAGGTCTATCGGTCGACGGTGTAATAATACCTAATTGGTTAGTTGGTTGATTTAAAATGTCTAACAAAATAGACAACAATATGCTGGCTATATACACCACAAAAACCTATTCAAGGTTTCGTTTTCAATATATTATATATGTATGTACATATGTACTATATATGAATATGTGTTAGTAAGTGATAGCATTAAACATATGTATAATTTTTAGCGCAAGACTTTTTTTAGAGATGAACTGTACTAACCAAACATACTATCCACTTTGAAATCGAGCTAATTGAATTAAGAATTTAATTTCTTTTAATAACAGAAAAAAAGAGTTGAAATAAGATCACCATAAACGCTTAGCACATAGTATTCAATAAGAAAAACAAACAAAATACTCTCGTTGAAATTTCATCGGCAGCTGGTATTGCTGTTGTGGTTATATGGTGATTACCACATAGTCAATAGGTATGTGCCGCTCAGATACAAATGTTGTATATTTCATATACATATGTGTATGCATGCTTGTTATCTATGTACGTAACTGTATACATGTGCTAGCGCACACGTTCGGGCGGAACTGCGTACTTTGCAGAGACGGCGACGCGTTTGGTTAGGTAATTAATGAAGAGCGACGCGACTGCGACGCAGCAGTGGTCAAGTGGCTCATGGTGCAGGCATGCGGTGAGACACTAATGTACCTCATAAAATAATAAACTATGTAGATGTATGTACATATATATGTGCATATTCACATACATACACATTATATATATGTAAAATTCCAGACCGAAACCACTAAAAGGCATAATGTTTTGTTTTAACAAGAATGAGCACCAACGCCAGTAGTAGAAGTAGATTAGCTGGCACTAAGTTATCTGTCGACGCACGCTGGATAAATCATCATCGCTATATTAAATCTACTGTTCAGATTGAGTTGTCGACGCCTGACTTGTTGTTCGGCAGAGAGATGAAAGCAAACGTGAATTTGACAGCGTAAAATGATTTATGTGGAATGTAAACAAAAGCATTTTTTATTGGCAAAGTTTTCATAACGAAAAAGTGTATGTAAATGCGTGAAAAGCACTGTGTGGGCTTTTAAGAGCAAAATTTGCGCCAAATTTATTCATAAACATTTATAAATGTGGACGTGTGTGCGTTTGTAAGTGCAAATGTTATCAGTGTTATATTTTCTGAATTTAAAAATCTTTTTTTTTTTTTTTAATTTAATTATTTAAATAATATAAACAAATATTTAGTTAAATAGCAACGCTCATGCAGATAAATATTGTTTTAGAAATAAATACAGTTATTAAGCAAATGCGAAATTTTAGCACGTCATAGACTTCATACTAATTGCGTTCTAATTAGAACAAAACAAATGAAAAGAATAAATGATTTTCCCGTGACGTAAATTTTTAACTTCCGCTGAGTTTACAATTAAAATTATAAATCCACAGTGAAGAAAACGATTGAGCCAAAGTTTATTACGTTACTAAATATGTGTTTTTCATATTAATTTGCACTCATGATATTGCATTAATTTTAATTTCAAATAAATTTATAATCGCAATATTTACACACCTCGACTTAAAGTAAACTTAACGCCGAAAGTTCTAAATTTTATGTAAATATAAATATTATTATGCACATGTCAGACTAAAAGCAAATTTTAAATTTAAATTAATTATAGTTAATTAATGTAAATTATTGAAATGTTATATAAATGGCATTCAGATGTACTAAATGGAATCAGCTGCTTCTCATTTCGTTGGAAAAAATTTGTTTACCTGAACCGGATCTATTAAATAATCCCTACTTTTTTGAGATATCGATCTAATACTTTCCAGCCCTTTTTTGACCCGAAATAGCTTCGTATTTCTCGGACATACCGATATCAGACTACTATAGCTTGTTGCTGCCATACAAACTGACCGATCCAAAACAAGTTCTTCTATGGAAAACTTTTTTATTTGACCAGGTATCTGCATGAAATTTCGCACGTGCTATTTTTCAGGGCAACGGTGTAATCTCCCAACAAATTGTTCAGATCGAATCACCAGCGCATATAGCTGTTATACAAACTGATCGATTAAAATCAAGTTTTTGTATAAAATGTGGCATTATAGCTTCGTTAGTGCCGAAGTTGACCACATTTCTACATCAATTTAAAAAAACCTTGTAGATTTCTCTATTTTAATTTTACTTTACTAGCGATCCTCAAATTTATTTCACCAGAATTTCAACTGATAGATTCAAAACACCGCGATATAATTAACTTTCAAAAAAAGTTTGCTTTATCATCAATTTTCTTGCTGAGCTTTAATTAAATGATTTTTTTTTTTTTTATTTTAAAAATTAACTCACGTGCAAAACATTTATATATGTACATAGTATGTACAAAATCTGAACACGCAGCCCGCCTAACGCTAATGTGGAAGATTTTCAAACTATTTTCTGCAAACTCATTTGATTACGAGTAAACAGGAAAACTAAAATTTTTTATTTGTGTTGTATTTGTTAGGAAAAATATTTGTTTTTGTCAGATTAGCTGATCTCTGAAAAGAAGCGTTTTATTTACATACGAAGAATACATACGAAGAATGTTCATTTATATATGTATGTATGTATGTATAGCTGTTTATTTGGTTATCTAAAATTCATATTTTTTGATTAATAAAAAAGATTAGAATGTATGATGTGAAAAGCAACAATAAGCTTCTTAGAATATAGGGTTAGTGAACTGATAATTCTTTTTACCGGTTAGAAGTAACTAATTTATCGGTTATAACTGCATTATGAAAATTTTAACACTAATAAATTTAAACCTGGTCATTTAAATAGTTATTGGTAATCAATGGATCTAAGCAAAAATCTAATCTAAGGAAATTTAGGTCTATAGTTTTGGTATGACCTTTGACTCTTGATAAAATTTGTCTTTCTACATAGGGTTTCGTCGTTTGTGGCAGAATATATCATGGAGAATAAACATATGTCTTAAACATATCGCATATATGTACATGCATACATATATTACATAAAACTGAATATCATTGAAAATCTGTCGCGCCAAACATTTTCTCTCTGTTTTAAACTTTCTCAAAAACTATCTTTACATCTGTTGATCACAACTTTGAACTTGGTGCATAACTCTATAATAAAACTGTTAATTTTTTCCACATTCTTATGTACTTAATTAAATAACCTGATTGTTTGTAAACTTTCTTCCATTCTACTACGCTTCGTTACACACAAAAGCACACGCGTGCATTTAAATAAGTTTCAATTAATCTTCATAGTGTTAGCAAATCTTTACATTTCCGCATATTTGCGCTTTACTCTGGATCATTTACAAATACAAATATGGTCCGTTTTTTGTAAATAAATAAGCTAATAAATACGCAAATTATACATAAAGTGCTGACGCTCTTCTAATGAATCGAGAGATGAGTAATTTTATTAGCATTGAATATTTTTCTCAGAGCAGTATGTGTGTGTACAAAAGTTTGATTATTTGTATATATAGTATGTAAGTAAATTATATCTACTTTTTAGAAACGTTTTTTTTTTTCGCCATAACAAACATTTAATTTCGAGGCTTACGTTTTCTAGAACAAGCTATACTATATTTCAAATCTTTAGTTTGGAAAATTAATAAAAAAATGTAATCGCTTTTACATGTACATTTTTGGACAAGAGAACAGAGCTCAAGGACAGCAAGCAGAAATGAAGAATCGAGGACAGATATTTTTATAAATAAAAAAACTAAAAGTAGGGGGTTTTGCTTCTAGAAAAGCTCCCTTCTAATTCCAAGAATCCGACTTACATATGTAGTAATGTACCCTCACACTTTCGGATACTTCAATCATAAGTTTTGAAATGTTCAATTGAGAAATTTTAATAGAATATATTATCATTTACAACCTTTTACTTTTTCTTTATTTGGACAAAACGTTTGAATCTTCATAGAATGTGTTTAAAATATCCTAGTTAAGAGTATTCGAACAGAATAGTCTTCTTAATTAAACTCTAAAGTTATTTTAAGTAATGTGCCCATCCGGGCAGACAGAGTCTGGAAAAGCTTCTAGTAAAGCAATGTTTTCTCAGTCTAACTAATATTTGTGGTAAAAAATAATATATGCTAAATATATCTCATATATTGTACGAGATATCTACTGCAAAGTAAAGGGATATTTGTATAACTAACAAGGACATTTAAACAATAACCCGATTTTTCTACTTATTTAGAAGTTTATTGGTCAATATTGCCACAATGGAATCCCAGCCGGTGGAAGCAACCGAAGTTTGACACCTTTTTGGAAATTTCATCGATGACTTGATTAAATTTTACCAAATTTAATAGGTTTATCCGGAAGTAATAGGCCTAAGTCGATTTAAAAAAATGTATTGAACCAATTGTTACAATTCCTTAAAAACTTTAAAAATATGCTTCTTCTGCGTCGATACAGTGCTGCCAGCGCGATTTCCAAGCATTGAGGACGTCACGGAAGGCACTCTGCGGTGTGGCCTAGAGAGCCGAGGTGCATGCTGCTTGGATCCCCTCTGACGTCTGAAAGCAACGAAACAAAAAAGGTCAGCCTGTCTCCTGTAATTACGGGTCACTTTCACACATGTTCAAATATTCTTGTCACACTTTCGCTGCAATTTCTGGTCGTCAGTTCAAATACTCCGTCACAATGTCATGAACCACATTTTTTGATACATTTAACATCTGGGCAATTAAACAAATACTTACTTGACGACCTG